AACAGAATTCACTCATCAATTCCTCCTCATGCACCATCATCTCAAACACGTACGTCAGCGGAAACTTATTTTAAAAATTCCTAACTACCTCAAAATATTCCTCGAAGTTACACAAAAGTTGTATCTCCGTTTGACTCATTTTCAAGTCATTCAAAGTGACTGGATAGTTCAAGGCGACTCGAATCACAATAAACTTTTCATATCGAAAGTTTCGAGCCTCGATGGAATCCATATTTCGCTTCTTCGAGCCAAAAGTCAATGCAATTTTCCAAAGGAAAAACATTTCTCTCCAACAAACAAACAAAAAATTCATCGACAGGAGTTTCAGAGACCCCATCAGTGCCCTGAACAACCTTGACACAAAAACACGATTACATTCACTGACCTTAGCACCCGAATACGAAAAACAAAGCCCCAACAGGAAACACAAGCGGTACACGCAAGTCTATATAGGAGGAACGAGCATTGGAATTCAACGCATTTGTTACACTTTCGTGAAAAGGTTGGCATCGCTACAACCATATAGACTTCGCTTGAGAAAGGCATCAGAAGCACGTAGGGCACACGTACGTATATACACACATGAGTCATGTTGTGTCAGGAACGCAGTTCCCTCTAACAATAAAGAAGCTGACTGATCAAGACCAAGAAGTGGTGGAGGGGGAAATATTTTGGGTGCCAGGTCACGAACTTGCCACCGTCGTCGTCGTTGTCGTCTTCGTGAGATGCTCTGTCCCAGGGCATCAATCCCAGCAGCAGGGTTCGGTTCCATGAAGGAAAAAAAATACACTTTGAAGGTGAAGTTTTGAAAAGTCACTGACTTTGAACCGCAATAACTCATACATCGTCGTGCTTCCTGCTGCTCAATTGATGGTCATCTTCACAGGAACATTCTTCATTCTTCATCACGTGAGTTTTTGAAGAAGAGGAAATGTGGATCAAGTTGTAGGCTTGGGAGTCTCGTGATGGACAGATCTTTTTTTTTAATGAGTATTCTGATGAGAACCATATAAAAAATGTGATGAATATTCCTTATTCCGTGGAGCAGGATGAGCAACGAGCTTATTGTCTGTAACAATTGTCTCTGTACAACTAATTCTTATTTGGTCCCATCGGGGTTCTTCTAAAGCAAAGTTCTCTATACAACACATTTTTTGATGTTCCCTTGAATTTTCTGTAGAGAGAATCCACCTTCCTGATAAAAAAAAAAAAGAACAAAACCATTGAAGCATGAAGATGCACAGAACCAATCAAAATGCCCATTCTGTAGATCCATCATGTCTTGATTTCTTGAATCAGCATGCAATATTTTATTTATAACGATTCTTGCACTATATTGAAGTACTGTATAACTGGAGTATAAATAAATCAGATAAAACAAGGTTTGAACGATTTTTCTTCCCATTTTTTCGTTTTTCATTTTACTTTTTTTTTGCAAATAAGTGCAAATAATCTGAGAAAATGGAATGTGTTGTCAATTTGAGTTTGATGCAGCACAATGTCCAGGATTCGGATACGTATTATGTCTTGTAATCATCCTGAACCTTTGAAAAATTGGTGCAACTTTTCAATATTTTCCAAGTTTGAAAGCATGGGCTGCTTATACAGTATAGTGTTTTCCTTAGATTTTCCTATTGATGTTCACTCAAATTTTATGAAATTTCTGGTTCAAATTTTTGTCTTCATGCGACACTTTCAAATCTCCGGAACCAATTTAAACACTTCTACGCGAAAAATGTGTACCACTTTTGAATTATGAAGGAACACATTAAATTTCTCTGCCAAAATCTCGGTGTTCATTATCGGGGAAAATCATTTTGGAACTCAAATCTCAAGGAACGGTTGAAATTAACGTGGTACAGAAAATAAGTGATACTGAACGGTCAATTTTAATTCTGGGTCTTAATGATGCACGCAAGATGCATGCAAATCAAATTCACTAGAAATTGCGCACAGCAGAAATTTAATTATCCCCACGTGTTGGAGGATTATTGGATTCAGTAAGTACAGAGATCAATGCGAATTAGCGATCTCACCTGGAGTACATAGCCACTTTTGCTAAGAGCTAAATTGGATAGGATAAAATATGAATAATGAATAAACATTTAGACAACCTTTGAAGAGCACTTTTTGCCACTTGAAATTCCCAGACGGATTTTATAGTATGCTTCTAGTTTCAATCCAAAGACAACATTTAACTTGAAAAATTCAAAGCTTACAGATGGCACTGGATTTCATCTCAAAGAAGTCGAAGGGTTTCCAGATTTCTCATCAGCTTAATACGCCATAACTTATTTTTATGGAGGCTCTATATACTGGACATGTACAGTATATATGTCATCAGGCAAAAGTCATGATGCTCAGGATGTACGAAGAAAACCCGCAGGGTTGTCAAAACACACTTCCGAGTCACCCGCCGGAAGTAGATTTGCACACAACGTTTTCATTCCAAGCACGATTCCTCCTGAATGCAAGGAAAAGCTCGACTCGGATTTCCTCTCGTATAATCTCTCATCCACCAAGAGGAATGCGGAAATGCCAACAGCAGCTGACTATGAACACTCCAGGGATCAAGAATGCAAAATCACTTCTGCAGTTGAGCTTTCAGCAAAGTGTATATAAGGCTCTAAGGTTGATAATAAGGGGAGAAGATCCGTTTCCTTATATACCCAATACTTCCGGATTCTGCATCAGGAAAGACGCGTCATAATATACTGAACGTACGTTCTTCATATTTATTTCTATAGTTTGTTATATACAAAGATTTATTTCAGTTATAACGGACTCGAGAAATTTCGGAGTAGGTGCATTTTTTGAAAAATCACGACATAGCCCATTTGATATTGTCTAAGGCTCTGAGATTTTCTTTCCGATTTTTTTTTGTAAATTTTACTGCATGATGATAAATAAAAACTTCCCAATAACAGCCAGAGTTCTCCACCCATGTCCCAGGGAGGTAAAAATTCGCCAGACTAGATAAAAAATTTATTTTTTGCTGTTTTAATAATTTTAAAATCTAAAACGGAGGAAAGATAACGAGTTAAACAAAATAATTTGATATTTTCAGCTGGCCTTACAACTTTTTAGCACATTGAACTCTGTCTGTATACCTGGAAAATTTTCTATCATCATGCAGTAAATTTAAAACATATTTAAATTTTAAAAATCCAGGAACCTTATTAAAAAATCAAATGGGCTATGTAAAGCTTTTTTGGTTGTTTTTACAATAAAAACTAATATACAAATATCAGAGGTCGCTTTCAACTGGGACAACCCTCTCACAACGTGTTGATACAAGTGATGCCACAGTTAATGGACTTCGACCAGTAATTTCAACACCTTGTTGTCCAAATTTGACCTCCTGGTGATATGATGTACAATATCGCCTGAGTGAATACGAATTTTCAGGAGAATGAAGTCGCAGTATACGGGGTATGTAAACGTATACGTACGGATCCTCAAATAAACTGCGTATGTAGAGAGAAAAACTGCGGAACATAAATTTTATCCCTGCAAAAACAAGTACTGTTTCACAGAAAAAAAAAGATGGAATCCACGGAGAAGAAGCAATCCAAACAATGTCGGGTGTGAGCAAATCTTTGCCCGCCTTTTATTTGGTCGCGCCGTCATGAACAAATCCTTTCATTCATCATTCGCTCCATATCCAAAAAAAAAACAAAAGAATTCCTTCGCACTGGCTGTTTGCAAAAAAGGAGAGAAAACTCGAAGTTTAACAAAAATAGCGATTTTTCCACATCAATCCAAGCACGGAAAAGCAAACGAGAATCAAGAAAAGCATTCGGATCATTTTGCGAAAAAAAACAAAACTTGTAAAAAAAAACCAACGTTGGTATATAGTCTCATACAACACTCACTCTCTCTCTCTCTTTCTCTCATATTCAACCAACGTCATCTTTTTTTGAGCAAAAGATCAACGCATTTTCATAAAAACGGATGATATTTCATAAATGCGAAAAACGTTTTCCTTTGTTGAAGAAATTTTGTCGTTGTTTTCCGAGGTCTTGTAGTTCAAAAAATCGAATCTGAGAAAGCGACGACGGGAATGATTGGCGGAAACACGACTTGTACAAATGATGGACCAGCTGCACATTTTCTCGTCCTATGTCCACTTAACTTGGCAAACACACACACAAATCTCAACTATTCCTTCTATTTTTTTCTTCTTCGCTTTCGTTGTCAAACCTTCGTTTCGCATTATTCTCACCACGTCCGCAACGCGAACAAACGCGCGTGATGGATATCACAAATGGCTGCAACATTTCTTCCGTTTCATCCATCTTCCAAGAAAAAGAAAAAAAAAACTCAAATTGCATTTTTGAAAATTTTCTCGCGCACTCTTTTCCATGCAAAAAAAAAATCTTGAACAAAATGTTTCGTGCAAAACTCAAGTGATTGGAGGCACGTACAAAGGAAGTTATCCTCTTCCTCCAAAACAATTTTGACAAAGCGAACATAGGGATGTCTGAGTACTGTACTGTAATAAACACGAAAACTGGCTATATACGGTATTTAAATATTTATGTCCTTCCATCACTTCAACGGCCGCGATGTCCGGAAGGTTTCACCTCATTAACTGAAGTTACCGCAATTAAAACTGAGCCTCAATAATCTGACATAACATTGAACTAAAATTTCCCAGCAAAACTTAGAACTCACAATTTGTAAAAACGTAAAGTTACAAAGGTCGGGCATTCAAATGGAATAAACCAAAACATTCGTCCTAACCGAGCTTAGCCCAATCAAAAGCTCAATCGAGGAGGCTTTTCCAGAAATAAGGTCAAACGCTAAAATACGGAGGAAAATCAATAAGACTTGAATAAAGTGCTTTCTTTTACTGTATATGGGCGCAGGAAGAACTTTTGTCTCTCTTTTGAGACCAGGAGAAACACAGCTCTTGTTTGAAGTCAAAGTTTTTGTTATTTCTTCTGGTCTTACTGAGTAGTTTTTTTATAGGCGGTGACCGCGTAAAAGGGGAAGTTGAATTTCCTTTTTTAGAAAAACTCGCGTCTTCCTCATGGTCAAAGAGAATCTGCGGGTTTGATGTCATTACGCTTTTATGGCACCTTTGAGAACATCTAAGCCACTAAAAACCAAAAACAAATATCAGAAAATCTATAAGAAAAAGCCAGAGAAAAATGCTATTTTCTCTCACTTCAGGCGGGATGAGGCAAATTCATTTGAAATTGCGAAAAAAAAAATCTTCAGACTTTCCCTTCCCTCTTCCGAAAGGAGAAGAAAGTCTCGCACGTGAAAAACTTTCAAACATTCCCACAAAAAAAAGCAAATGAACCCGCGGACATCCCCAGTCTTACAAAAAATAATAATGATTCACCGCACTAACAACCTGCTTCGAGAAGAAAAAAAAAAAACAAGCATGAAGACGTCACATCACGAACAATGCTTTTGCTAAAACTTTAGAGGAACATAAATTTCACACGATATAGATTCAAAATGACGTTTAGAAATAACGCCAAAAAAAAAATATCGCAGTGGGCGAAAAATCCCCGAACGCTCAGTTTGAAAGGAAAAAAAATAATGGAATAACATTAGACTCGCGGCAAACATTTCCTGCCGTAATAGCGAAATAAAAATAAAATTTATAGAAATATCAAAAAAAGTTGTGACTGAAACATCATTTTGTTTTTCTTGTTTGTGAGCAATCAGAAAAACAAACAAGAGTGTGGACAGAAAGAAAAAAACCGCCCTGGAAGAAAAATAGCCCACAAAAAAAAAAAACGAGATGACGATGCTTCCTATTTATGCTGCTGGTTGTAGTCGACATAAACCCTGACAATTTCCCCAGAGTACTTTCTCTGTGATGGCATGAAGTAGAAGTCTGGTGCTTGGGACGAAGACGAAGATGGGCCAGCGTAGGAATTCCTCAGTGAACGGTCGTTGGTGTAGTAACCCGCCGGGTGATGACTCGGGGCACCGTAACTCGGCCTGGGTAGCGAGTTGGTATGCCGGTCACCTGATGCAAAAAAAAAGCAAAAATGAATAAATAAAATGCGAACAGAAAATTCCATACATTTTCCCGAGAATTGCCCTTTTCACGGAAGAATGAACCCTAAAAAATGCATTTCAACAGCGGGAAGCTAATGCGAGGGACATAAAATTTGATGTGATTCACGCCATCTGTTACGAAACAAAAAAAATTATAAAATTGGAGCTAAATGACTTAAGAGTTTACAGTGTAAACTCAAATATGCTTCATTTTTTGTTCAAATTTTCACCTGCTCGTTTAATTAGAGCCTGAATATATATTTTTACTAATTCTGGTCTCTAAATCCTTTTTTCATTTAATTCCAATAAATGTGCTTAAAGTATGACGAGCACCAAAAATGTTTCTTGAAAAATTGAGAAAAAATGTATTTTCACTCGAGTCTGATACGCTTCCCACTTTTGGTGCATGATTTGTTAGAAAACGTTGCGGTGGGCACTCAAATATACACTTATGGTATTTACCATTGCTTCACTATGTAGCTCTTTGCTCTATCAAAGAGTAATTAACACTCAATTATTCTCAGCTCATACACAGTGAACAACTGTACTCCTATATGAGCTAAAACAACGCTCACATTCAACATATAAAATCAAATAAATAACTCGAGCGCTCACCTTTGACGACGCCGGTGGCGACGCCGTTCTTGGACGGGCGCTGGAGAGACCTCGAGTCGCCGTAAGGCGCCGAAGAGAAGCCCGCCACGGCGGCGGCGGCGGCGGATCCGTTTCGGGCCCCCGGCGGCGGCCGCGGACGCGATCCAGTGCCTCGCTTCCCGCGCTCGTCCGGATCAAAGTGCTCGTAGGCGTAATTAGTGCTTCCCGTGGCCGCCGAATAGTCCTTCCATGCCGAATTCGTGATCAGTCCTTCTTGCTGGAAAGGCGTAGATCGAGTGGCCGCCAAAGTTCGTTTGGCACACGATGCGAGACGAATGTGTGAGAGAGAGAAAAAAAAAAAAAAAAAAAAACGACGTGACACACGAACACACCCACACACACACACACACGCCCATACGAAAACATGGAACGCACGACATTTAAAGAGAGTCATTTTGTCACATGGAACACAAAAAAACGATTTATATACTCGTCAGAGCAGCTATTGAAAACGTCTTTCGGTGAAAATTTCTTTATAACCTCAACCAAAAATATCATGTACTGTAAGAGAAGAATCATGCGGGAAAATTACGTTTTTAAAATTTATTTCTGTTAATCAAACGTCCTAATGATCGTCATTGTCCTCAAACTTTTCTTTCTCTTGAGTGAAACATTTGCGTTGATTTACTTCGTGGCGAAGAACGAGTGTTTTTTTTTTTAATCTTCAGTTAGGGGCATTTTAATATGTGCCAAACTGAGTGAGCATATGCAAGCAAAAAAACTTCCGGTACCTATTTAGACAGATTATTTCGCTAAATACAGTATTTAAATACACTGAATAGAGGTTCAAAGATTGCAAAACAATTGTAAACTTTTCAAGTACAGTATTTCCAATTGAACAAGGAGCTCCTGAAAATTTCAAGCACTGAAGCAGAATATCTGAGCGAACAAACACATTGAAAAACTCGGTTCGATTTTTTGAACGGACACCAAAATTCTCTACCGAACGTAAAAATTATGTAATCACAAACATTATTAAAGTCATGTTTCAGAAACTATCAGCAGCAGATGAGTAAATCGATGTTCATGAAAAATCCCCATCCGTTAATAATTTTATGATTTCAAAAATCAACATCGGCAGTTTGCTCATCTACTCATCGGAAATTCAAACTTGGAATTTGTTTTCATACTGTAGGTGAATGCATCACGAAAAAAATTTTCTGAATTTTACTGAGCCTTGAAAAATGGTAGTTCCGTGTTCCTAATGCCATACATAAAGCGTCTCAAAATAAGCTGCCATTGGAGCTCGAAAGAATTTCATCCTAATGGTTTCCATGCTTCCACCAGCTTTCCGGGATCAATCTCGGCCCACGTGAACCCGCATGATTTAATCCACCAGGCTCAATATTTTCATGACGGACGAAAGAAAAGAAGAAGGGGTAAAAGAAAAAATGGGGGGTTTTCTCTGGAACCCCCGTCACGGAATTGCCGAAAATCTGATTTCCCTCGGGAGGAGAAGATACCTTCGTCCCGCGCTTGAAGCCAGTATTCGGGAGAATATCGCACATCTGTGCAAATTTCGAAGGATTTTTTAAAAACGTAAATTATCTTATCACAGGGATTCAATTTGAACGAGAACACAATTTTACATGTGTAAAGTAACACTCCAAGTTTTAATAAAATCAGAGATTCCAGCTTATTTTCTGCAAGACATGATGAAAAAAGAAAAAAAAAACAGTTGAACCTCGATATTTCAAACCTCCCGAGTCGAATACCTTCACATTTCGACTTTTTTCCAAGTACCCAGCCAGAATTCCATTTTAAAAATGTATCAAAAACGTTTATATCTCCATGCTTTCTCCCTCAATCCTAAACGTATTTTTTTCTTTTATTTTTGTGATCCACAAAACAAAACAAAAAATGATGGAATTGTAACTTTTGAAAAGATATCGAAGAATAATTGGGCGAATGAACCCTTGCCTTGAATGTTCAGCATCTTGCGACTTCTTTACAACGCATTTTTGGGTTTAAAGAATAATTATTACTTCGAATTCTTTCAAAAAAAATTGTACAGTCAAAAATGATGGTTTCCTTAAATAATAGAGGTTCAACAGGAAGTTATTGAATGATTTTTATTCGCATTTTTGAGTCACTTTGCAGCAATTCAATTCAAATCCCAAGAAAAGTGTTGAAATAGAACCCCTTCAAATGGCCGACTGGAGAATTGAATAGATACTCTTTTTTTACCTGAACACATTTCAGTTATAAGGAATTCGACTATTTTGCAATCGCTTCGATATTCGCTAAACCATATTCGAATATCTTTCAAAACAGCGTTCGAAAAATTAAAACGTCCTCCCTAACGAATAAAGCTCCAAAAGATTGGAAATTTGAAATGCGAATTAGGGCTTCCAGAACATTTCAAACAATCTCTTTTTGATTCAGTTAACACACAAAAATCACTGTGGAGCTCAGATTTTAGAAAATTAAAAAAATGGTAGGAAATTGAGGAGATTCGCCATTTATTAAACTCTTCTAGTTCTGCTTACAAAGTTCAAAAACTTCAAGCCTTGGAAATTATGCGTCTTGTCTGGCCTATCGCAGTCCAGTCCTCGTCGGTCGTCATGGATGTCATGAATGAAAAGTATCAGAGGGTTAAATTATGAGGAACACAAAATTAGCATGCATCGGACAGTGCCATGCGAATCCAAGACTTGATGCACAAACAACACGAAAACATGGAAAATCACCATGACGAGGACCAGACATGCAAAAATAAAGACGCAGTCAAGACGACGCAAATTATCCTTCTTTCTTTCTTTTTTTTCATCTCCAAACAAAAGCTTGTTCACACAAAATAAAAAGTAATAAACAGGTCTAGGACTTTTTTCTTTTTTTGAGGCGCGAAATCCTTCCGTTCAACAAAGTTAATACTGTTCGGTCTCCATCACACAAGCCAACGCGTTATTTTCGAAAACAGAAAACGAGGCCTTTTTCTGGCGTTTTATATTCACCAACATTTCAAGCCGAAGTTACACGTATTTGTCAACTATGATTTAATACTGTAGGAATCGCAATACCCATTCCAGAGATCCAAGACTTGATGATTGTCTGGATATATTTGAACCAAAGCACTTCGTAAATTATCAAAAGCCCAGATTTAATGAAATGCAAAATATTCTGTCACAAAGTCAGCTGCAGGATTTGAGAGAAACTCATTGGAATTGCCCTTGAAATTGTCACCAGTATTTCTGGAACATGATTCAATCGAGAAATATACCACTTTACAGCATTGGAACTACTGTATCTCAAAATTTGAAAAAAATTCATTTGGTAAAAAAACATATTTGCGTCACTTGTTCAAACATTTAAAAAAATAAAAGAAAAAACGAAAGCTATGGAAAAAAGGAAAGCCTCGCAAGAAAAGTCAACCTTCGATCGAATCACGAATAGGTTCGCTCGTTTCTCATGCAAAAAAGGGGGAACAAAAAAAAAAAACAATCTGAAGGGGACCAAACATAGTCTTCTCACGTTCTCCCGATAACGAAATCAGGTCATTGAATATTTGAAAAACACAGTGGGACGAAGAGGGCGAAAATTGACGAAAGGCACAGAAACAGAAGAATAATAGAACCTGAGACAAAAAGCAAAATTGCAGAAACAAAATGCCACCGCGACAGAATGCGAGAGATTTTTTTTTTGCATCTCTTTTCGCGCTTATACAAGACGTACTTCGTGTATAGAAGAGATGGTCCGCTTATTCCGAGACATGGCGAATTTAAAAATGGTCTCATAAATTCGCTCATTTAAAAAATATATCAAGAAATTTTAGAATGAAACGAAAAACAATTTTCGAAAAGAAAAAACTTCAGGTTTTGAAACAGCGCAAAAGAAATTACCCTGTAACCTGTATTTTGTTTTCTAGAGATCCTCAGCGATACAATTTCGACTAAAAATTGATGAAGCTGATAATTCTAAGGTAATTCTAAGGTCTTGGTCTCGGATTTCAACAAAGATTCCGAGGTTCAGACGTGAACCTGCGAGTGAAGCACTTGCTTTTACTAAAATCAACAGGCTTAATCTGAGACTTTTTTCCCTAGATTTTTAGAATTTTGAATGCGAAAATTCATTGATTTGGGTGGAAGAACCGCTGTACATCAGTGAAGAGTGCCATGCGAATCAAAGCATATGGTTTTTTAAAAATTTTATTTGAAGGAGCTTAATCAAATTATTACAGCTAATGATCTCAAAATTTACAGACCACCTCTCTAACTATCAGTAAAGAACAAAATGGAAAAACAGCAGGTCACTGCTGGCCGGCGGGATAAAACTCGTTAGGGTGCACAAGGTGTGCCACATGGCTCATGTCAGGCGGGTACATCGGGTGGAACCGCTGATGAGGGGCATGTTTGTAGCTCAGAGCCACTGGCTCTGAAGACGCCAAGAAGACCTTGAACACGACAAAAACACTGCAAGCCTCTGGGACCAAAACCTTTTTTCTATTTTGCTCAGAGCTATATGTGATGGTACTCCATTTATGCGATGGCACCTCCAGATATATTTATGGCACCTCATGGTTTTTTTAATGGTACCTCATGCTGTATTTAATGGTGCTTAAAGGTGCATTTCATGGTACCTCATGGTGTGCGTAATGGTACCTAATGGTATGCACAATGGTGCCTCATGGTGTGCACAATGGTGCCTCATGGTGTGCACAATGGTACCACTTGATACATTAATGGTACTTCATTGTGTATGTAAGGGTATCTCATTTTATACATTTTGGTACCTCATGGTATATGTTATGGTACCTCATGGTATATGTTATGGTACCTCATGGTATATGTTATGATACCTCATGGTATATGTTATGGTACCTCATGGTATATGTTATGGTACCTCATGGTATATGTCATGTTACCTCATGGTACACGTTATGGAACCTCATGGTACTGTATATCTAATTGCAATTTACGCGTGAGGTGCATTTCGGGTCATGCATTAAAGCAGCAAAAAAAGATTTCTTCCTTCAATCATCCTTAATAATAAAGTTACTACTCTCTGTACGTCGGTTTTTCGTTCGTCCGAACGCACTTTTCCCTTCCCAGTTGCCCCCTACCTCCCTCCCATAGAGACCAGTGTTCCCTCACAAGTGAAGTTCTGAGTTTGTCTTCAAAAATTGTTTTAAAATTTTTTTATGGGCCAAACTTCAATTTTTTTACACCATTGGATGCACGCTGAAGTTTTCTAAATTTTTGTGTTTTTTTCATGAAAAAATATGCAAAATTGAGTAAATTATAGTTGAAAATGTGAAACGTTTTTCGAAATTTTCGTGTGCTGCCTCCTTTCCCGCCAAAACGCACAGGCGCGCGGCGCCCCCCTCCCAGACTCCCCCGAGTCCCGCCCCCTAACCTTC